GGGCCCTGGCGGCGCCGTGGGTGATGTATTGGGCCGCTAACCCCAACGTCAGCAGTTCGACTCCATTAGCCACTCCTAGGGAGAAAGCCGAGGCTATCTCCTCCCGTAAAGATTTGCAGCCCGGGCTTCTAAGGTTTCTAAGGAGCAGTTCTCCTCTGGCCTACCGGGTTGCTGTGCATCAGAAATGACTTGTTTGACCTTTCGTACCTATTTTTGGAACACAGAAAATGCAGAGCTTGTAGGAATAGCTATCCTTTATGGTTCCCAAACTTTAGTCTGTAGAGGGCGGTGAGTTTCTGGGCAGCAAAATCACCTGCGTGGCTTGCCCGCAGAATCTCGGATTTAAGAGGTGGGATCGCCAATGAGCCACTGCCCCCTTGGTCATGCGACCAGAAGAAACTAGAGAGTGCCCTACCCCCATTTCCGAACGGCTCGAGCAAAGCCTCTATAGAAGTCTGATCAAAATGGAGGGAAATGCAGGATAGAATTCCGAGGTGCAGGATAGAATCCTGCCTTTTTGGAGCCGTGGAGGCTGAGTGAACCCCTGAAACAACTGCCTTGAAACACTCCTTAAACTTTAAACCAAAGCTAGCCCCTGACGGCTTCTGTCAGCCACACAGTGAGCTTATTTAGGGAGCAGTGTTGGCCTAGAACACGGTGCTCTTTTAAGAACTATCTATCATGGGGTCCAGTTGACAGTAGTGACTCAGTAGGGTTAGACAGGAGCCTTCAGGGGAGTGAGGTTATGTTAATGGAGGAGGAACAATTCGGGGTGGGGGTGGGGGACAAAACAACTGTCTTCCAGTCTATGCTGGCTCATAGCGACCCTGTAGGGCAGGGTAGAACTGCTGCGGTGAGATTCTGAGTCTGTAACTCTTTACAGGAGTAGAAAGCCATCTTTCTCCCAATTCAGGAAAGAAAGGTGAAACATGTACACGATCCAGAGAATGTCATCCAAGTCACTGAATTATACATGGTAGAAATCGTTGGACGGGTGTATGCGTTGCTGTGTGTATGCTCAACAACGGTAATCACAATAAAGATGCAGAATTGGGCAATGGAGCCCAAGGATGTTAAATACATGGACAATTCTCCAATTCTGAACCCAGGGCAGGCATCGAACATTGAGCCCTGCACAAGAAGTTTATACAGTTCTGTTCTGCAGCCAGACACTACCAATCAATCTGTGTACAACAGAGACAGAAACTTCCCACTGCCTCTGATCAAAATCACACGGGACACTTGTTACAGAGAGGAGGAAAGCAGCCCAGAGAGAAAGGGCTGTCAGAGGGCACAGAGCCAGGAATTGGGGTGCAAGGCAGGTGGCCCACCCCCACTTTCCAGCTCCTTGTGCCCCATTTGTACACTTTTCTGTCCCTCTGGGGACTTGAGTTTCTAGATAGCCATGGGTTGGGGCAACAGAGTAGCCACAAAGATTCAATTGCTGTGTTACTCCTGATACACTCACTGGCACCATATAAATTCCCAATCATAGCCACCCTATGGGGCCGTGGTTCTCAACCTTCCTCATGCCGCGACCCTTTCATACAGCTCCTCATGGGGTGGGGACCCCCCAACCATAAAATGATCTTCGTTGATACTTCAGCACTGTCATTTTGCTATCGTGATGAATCAGGCGACCCCTGTGAAAGGATCGTTCAACCCCC